ATTAAAGTTCAATAAATGATAAAACGGTATTTCATGAACCAACGAATGTGTGAAATTGTTTAAGGTCGCTAATGGAGCCCGAGTCTAGTGTGTTTGTCGGTTAACTGTTATTTGGCATGTTTTACAGTTTTAAATGCAGTATGAGGTTTGATGTTTTCATTTTATAGTTTCGTGTGCATATTTTACTGTTTTACTGATTATGGATTGAATAACTGGGATATTGATGCTGTATGTTGTCTGTTTGGCATAAATTACCATTTTGCTTGTTTGTATGTGGATTGATAATGCTGACTGAGGGAAAGGAGAATAAAAAATTATGTAAATGAGTAATTGTATAATGTGGTCAGTCTGACTAGATATCCTAGGAGATGGTGGACGGACCGGGTCCGTAGGGAACCCTACCGGGATTGTGGTCTCCCATACCGGACGGGGTATAGAGATCTTATGTGTTTTGGCGCCCATACCGGACGGGGTATGGGGACGACCCTGGAATATGATTTCAAGTGTTAAGGGTTAACGGGTAGCGGGACCCCTATAGATCCCCATGGATACTAGTGGGCTGGTAAATGAGGAAAATACATTGTGTAACGATTGAATTACGAAATGCTTGATAAGTATTACGTTATACAGTTTATATATGATTTCATGATGATGATGATGTTATTGTTTTCGTATATTGTCTTATGAATTTCACCAAGGTAAGTGAATGGTAAAAGTTTTATTATTGATAAAAGGTTTTGTTGTTAATTATGCTCCATTGGTCTTTTTGTGTTTTCTACCCACCTTTACCTCCGTGACGGTGAGATATCGTGATGTCTTTACTGGGATAGTGTAGCTCATTCCTTATTTAATCATTTCATATCAGGAAGACATTGTTCCCGAGTCGGTTCCGCAGGAGGACGACGAAGGGGACGCCTAAAGACTCCATAGTCATATTTGTAATTTTTACTTTCAAGTTTCTACTTTAGGTAGTTTGATCTTTTATATTGTGAGCACGTTTTTGGTTTTAGTGTAAGGGATGTTAATCGAATTTTTAACTTCGCTTCCGCATTTGATATTTTTAATATACATTCCATTTTAAATTTTCGGGGCCGTTACATGCAAAGTAGTAGAAAATATATAATTTTCTCATGAAAGTGAGTAAATTATTATTTTGAAATAAAAGAAAAATATTTTGAAAATTTTGAAAATTTTAAATTTGCAGATCATATTAATTTTTAAATTGAACCAAATAACACCCGGTTGGTTCAAATGAAACTTCTCTCGCAGTTTCTAAGAAGATAAAATAAAGAAACATCAAAGGAGAAAAGCAAAGGCTGCAAAATTGGCCTTTTCATAACGTTGCTATCCCTTCAAGAATCAATATATATATATCTATGTGTGTGTATATATATATATAGAGAGAGAGACAGAGAATGTGTATATACATACATATATATATATATAGAGAGAGAGAGAGAAAGAGAGAGAGGGTGTGTGTTCAATACTTCAAAAGAAACAAAAAAAAAAAAGAGGGGCTGGTCCTGGGGTTGTTTGATAAAGGATTATTTGCTGGGTTAAGAAGAGGAAATTAAAAGGGTTTTTGTTTCCTAAACTGTGTTTTCCTCTTTTTTCCCTCAACAGTGATTTAAAATTTTTTTTTTAAAAAAATTAAAATAAAATAAAATATCTGTTGATATCAGAGACAAACAAATGGAGACGTTTGATATTCAAATGGCATTTTGATGTTGACATTTGACCTGCTCTTCTCCTTTGCTTTCTTATTTTTTATTTTATATATATATATATATATTCACATTCTTACTTATAATTATTATTTTTATTTTCACTTTTATCCAACATGAAAATCTTTTTTATTCTTCCTCTCCCATCTGCCTTGCTTAATTTGAAGCCTACCTGTTCATGCTCCTGCTTGTTTTACTGATATAAAACACTAATCCCATTACAGTGGTAGCTTAAATGGTAAAAGAAGATTTTTCTTTTTTACAGGAAGGTCAGAAATGTATGCCCCAATAAGTTTGGTTTTTAGCTCTTTTGGGAAGAAGATCTTTATGCTTGTATTTTAATGAATTGATATTTTATAAGATTTTTACATCAACTATATTAAAAAATATATATATTTTTAAATTTTCATATTTTCTGAAATTAAATTAGAATTGCAATTGAAAAAACATTCCTAAGTTATTTATTTTACGCTAAAAAATCATTATAAATATTTTGTTTTAATAAATAGTGTTTGTTAGATTTTTAAAATCACTCTAACAACTACGTTTCTATTTCTTAAAAAAAAAATCTTAATTTAAGATAAATTTATATATTTTCATTTTTTTTATAAAATTAATTATTTTCTTTTTATAATAAGCACGTAACTATCTATTTTTAAAACTTAAATTATATATTTCAAAGTAACTTAAAATACTTTAATATTTAAAAAGTCATTTTTTAACCAACCCACCCACTCTTAAAATCAAATAGTTAAACTCCATTAAAAAATAGTGACGATATTTTTCTTATGTAGTGAAATGTAAAAGTAATTTTTAATATAAGATTTTTAGGATAATTCATTAGAATGATTTTGAGTGTATAAGGATTGTTTTAGGATAAGTGGGGACAATGGAGGATTTTATTTGTGCTTTACACTTTTAAGGTATTTATGATTATAATTTTAATATTCGAGATTAAAAGAATTAGTATTGTTATTAGCTTGAAAAGACATATATACGAATATTAAATTATAATTAAATAATTAAATTTAAATAAATATTTAAAACGTAAAATTACGTTTCATATTAAAATAAAATAATTTTTTTTGCAAAAACATGCATTAATTCATTGTGAAATTTATTATTCTTGATAGTTATAGTTTGATTATTATAATTTACAATAATTTTAGAATATGTGAGATTTTATGTTGAATTGAGGAATAAAAATTTCTTAATTATTTAAATTGGAGATCATAACACATTAAAAAAAGTACATATTTTTATTATGTATAATTTAACTTTTTATTAAATAAAAAAAATAATTTTATCTTTACGTATTAAATTTATGATAATTTAATATTTTAAAATTAATTATCAATTTTATTAAATTATTAATTAAATTAATTGTACTTTTTAAGACAACAATATAAATATATGTACCGAAATTTTTTTCAACATAAATTATTTAATTAAATACATATAGATTTTAGGCAAATGATGAATTATTTTATCTATATTTAAAAGATTAAGGATATAAAAACCCTGAAATGCATCCTCTATGTAATAAGATTTAATTAAAAAAATAATTAAATTAAATTAAATTTGAAAATTAATAATTAGCAAAAAGCTAACTATTAATTATTCGTTTTCCAACAGTCCAATTAAACCATCAATTGTCAAAGATGACTTTGGGTTTTGTACAGTGTAACTCTTAATTGATCCCAATTTTAAAGCCTCTGTTTTGATTGGTCGTGAAAAGAATGGGGCCGAATAATCATGGCTATTTGAGGAATAAGTAATTATATTAATAGGACAGTTAATTTAATTTAATTTATTTTTTTTAAAGATAGTATTTTATATTTTATTTTATTTCACTAAATATTTAAATTTTATGTTAATTAATTCATTAATATTATTGATTTTTTAAAATAGAAATTAGTATATTTTATTAATGAATAATTTTAAAAATGATATTTTAAAAGCATGTAATTTCAAGCTAATCCAACTGTTAACCAGGCAATTAATTTTTTCATTAAAGGTAATCCTTGTCCCCGGGGTTTTAAGCCCCTGGCTCTGCTTTGGCATTTTTAAATTTTCTAGGGTTTAAGGTTATGAACTCGTGCAGGGTTTAAGCTTACTACTCCATCTGAATTTCTCTATTTTTAAGGGTGAAATTTCTTGTTGGCTCAAGCCAGAAGCACACCAGTCTCCTCCCATCCATGAATGATCAAAGAAACCCTTAAATTCTTCTCTATCTTGCAAAAAACCTCGCAGTCGCCAAGTCCCGTTGCCTGCAACTATCATCTCCATAACCTCGCTAAAGCAAGCTGCGGTGCTCTATCCCTAAAAATCCTCTCTTATTTTCTCCACAAAGGTTACAATCCTCACGCTTCTTCTTTTAACTCAGTTATCTCCTTTCTGTGCAAATTAGGACACGTTAACTATGCTCAAAATCTTGTAAGTTTAATGCCGGTATATGGGTCTCTGCCTGATATCGTAACGTACAACTCGCTGATTGATGGCTATTGTCGGCGAGATGATGTTAGGAGTGCTTGTATTTTGATGGATACGATTAGGGCGAGTGATCAATTTATGTTTAAGCCGGATTTAGTTACGTTTAACATATTATTTAATGGGTTCTGTAAGCTGAAAATGAGGTATGAAGTGTTTGTGTATATGAGTTTGATGTTGAAGTGTTATCTTCCGAATGTAGTTACCTACAGCACTTGGATTGATATGTTCTGTAAATGGGGAGATTTGTGTATGGGGTTTAATGTGTTTAAAGATATGAGGAGAGCTGGGGTTTTGCCAAATTTGGTTTCATATACTTGTTTGATTGATGGCTATTGCAAGATTGGTAATTTGGAAGTTGCATTTAGATTATATGAAGAAATGATAAAGGCTTCTTTTTTGCCAAATGTTGTTACTTATACAGCTTTGATTGATGGTCTATGCAAACAAGGTATGATGGAAAAAGCGGAGTGTGTGTTCTCAAAAATGTTAAAAGATGGAGTTGAATTCAATTCTGTTGTTTATACTTCCATGATTGGTGGATACTTTAAGAAAGGTGATGTCAATGATGCCATGAAGTGCTTGAGTGAAATGTCTGATAAGGATATACCTCTTGATATGCCAGCATATGGTGCTGTTGTAGCAGGTCTTTGCATTAATGGTAAGCTACATAAAGCAATTGAGTTCCTGGAAGATATGGTACAGAGCGGACTGGTTCCTGATGGGATGGTGTTAACAACAATAATGGATGCATATTTTAAGTCTGGGAACTTGAAGGGGGCATTAGATGTGTATAAGATGTTGCTGCATAAGGGTTTTGAGCCTGATGTCGTGACTCTTTCAAGCTTGATGGATGGTCTCTGCAAACATGGACATCTTTGTGAGGCTAAAGGTTATTTCTGCAAAGAAAAATCTAACAAAATTTCATATACTGTACTAATTGATGGGATGTGCAAGGCAGGAGAGTTAAGTGAAGTTGAGAAGGTTGTCAGAGAGATGTCAGAGGCAGGATTTACCCCAGACAAGTATGTATATACTTCTTGGATTGCCGGTCTATGTAAGCAAGGGAATTTGGCAGATGCATTTAAGTTGAAGAATAAAATGGTTCAAGAAGGTCTGGAACCAGATCTGTTAACTTACAGCTCACTGATTTTTGGTTTAGTTTCTAAAGGTTTAATGATTGAAGCAAAACATGTTTTTGATGTTATTTTGAAGAAGGGATTGACTCCAGATTCTGCAGTTTTTGATATTCTGATTAGAGGATATCTCAAGGAGAGTAACACACTAGCTGTTTCCGATTTGCTCAAGGAAATGAGAAAGAGAAGACTCATAACTGCAGTTAGCGGATTACTTGGAAACGAAGGTAATAACTGAAAGAGCCTTTGGGAGAACCAAAAAGTTATGTATTTGGGTTGGCACTGACACACAAGGCTCGAAGCCTCCCGATAAAGTCCGCTTCGGTTGCAATGATCTTGTCCCTTACTGGGCACTGGTTGCTTGCGGCTGCAATGTGTAGAAAAATATACTGGATGCATGTCTGATGCAGAAGATCTTGCGACTAGTCAAGGTTAAAAGGGTCAGATTACTGTAATTCCATTTTCATGGGAAGCAAAGTAGAGGTGATGCAGCTGACCTCAGTCTATTGCCCTGAATAATTTGTTGGACAAATTGATTTGCTGTCCCCATTTCTTGGCATTTTTAGGTGATTAGAACTTTCCTAAGAAGGAATGAAAGATGCATGAGGTTGTGCATACATATACACCAGACAGTTAATTCACTTTTTTCAATGTGTACCTTTTTAAGAAAATACAGGAAGAAGATGATGTTGGTACTATTGAGCCATATGATGAAGCTTTTGGGGGTATCATAAGACAAAATAAGCAGGGTAAAATGTTTTGGAAAATTGTTGGGGAAATGACAAGCAAGGTGAATGGACATGTCTCTCTGCCTGTCGAGCATATTGCTGGGAGATGGCATCTGTAATTTTTTCACTGTATACTTGTAGATTAGTATTTTAGTCACAGAATTATGAAAGTACACTACCCATTTTACAGGGTGTAATGGCCATTGTTTCAGATTATAATCCTTTATGTAATGCAAATTCACTCTATTGAACCAAAGATTCAACAGCTGGTTTGGCATTCTCTGGTAAATTCATGAAAAAAGATTCATAAATTTCAGTTGATCTTTTACTACGTTTAGAAAAACTTTAATTTCAGTTGGAGGGTAAAACCAGATCCTCAAGAGTGTGCTGATAGAAAAGTGCATGAACGGTTTATCAATTTAAAATTACAGAAATTTATACCATCAAATAATTGAAATTTTTTAATTAAAATGTAATATATATATTATTATTTCATTTAAATAAAATTTAAAATAATAAAAATATTTTGAATATTAATATGTTCAATTTAAGAGTGATATTATTTCTTTAATTGATCAATATCAACCGATGTATGTACAAATTAACATTTAATTTATCTTAAATAAGTTATAATTTGCTGAAAGAATTTTCTATTACATAAATAACTTATTAAAAATTTACAAGTTACCTAAATTAGAATTTCTTTTTCTTAGGAAAAAAGAAAAAAAAAAAAAAAAAGCTCAAAAGAAAACTGAAAATAATCATCGACCAGGCACCCGCTCAAACGACTCCCTGAAAGAAGAAAAAGATCAAACATAGCAGGCGCCGCTTACAAACAACACAATACTGGAGGAAGAGCCACTTACGTAAGTAGAGTCCTCAGGCAAAAACCAAGCATGGCGATTGAGTGTCTCGTTCTGGGTAATAAGTCATCTTCAATTTCATTTCTGGCGCACCCAATATCCCATATACATATGTTCATATGTGCTAACAAACATGCATACATATCAGGTGCTGGGCAAGAAGTAGGGAAGAGCTGCGTGGTGGTGACTATCAATGGCAAGAAGATTATGTTTGACTGCGGCATGCACATGGGCTACGACGATAAACGTCGATACCCCAATTTTTCCCTCATCTCTAAATCCCGTGATTTTGATAACGCCATTACTTGCATCATCATCACTCACTTGTACTTAACTCTGTCACCCACTAACCCCTTAATTTGGCTTCACTTTCTTTTTCCAATTAATCTACTTTTTCTTTTTTTTTTTTCCCGGGTTCCATCTGATATGGTGTTCTTGTGTTTATTGGGTTGAAACTTTTACAGTCATTTGGACCACGTTGGAGCGCTTCCTTACTTCACTGAAGTTTGCGGGTACCGGGGTCCGATTTACATGACTGTAAGTTCTGTTAGGTGCTTGAAAAAATGACTGGCTTGTGCTTTTCATCTTGATGCCAGTGTTTTTCATTCTTCTTTTCTTCTGGTTCGGCCTACGGGTTTGTGTACTAAGAAATTATATCTTGGGATGAGCTTGGTTGCTGTTAGAATGTGGTTAGTGGGTTTTAAGTTCATAGCTGCTGTTAGAACTCTGTTTGTTATCAACTTTCTTTTCATGGTTTCCGTTTTAGTACCCAACGAAAGCATTGGCTCCGCTGATGCTGGAGGATTATCGGAAAGTAATGGTGGACAGAAGGGGTGAGGAGGAAACATTCACTTCTGATCATATTGCAGAATGTATGAGGAAAGGTAAACGTATTTCCACGTGTCCAGTATTTTTTTTTGGTTTGTGAAATGCCTATTGAAGGGTTGTGTATATTAAACTGGCTTGGCCTAATTGGTTGGCTGGAGTTCTGCTCTGGCTGATTTTGTCTCGTAAATATTCTTTACCTAAGTACGAAGTTGCAGATGTGGTAACTGAACATGCAATTCTATAGAAGCCAAAGGTGATGATAGTTGCTTTTGGCAGGAGGACAACAGTTCATCGGACCTTTTATGATCTCTGTCATAGAAAATATCCATATAATCTGGCGAAGGTCTTTTTGCTCCTAGAATTTCTGCTTTTTGCTTACAACCATATAATTAGATAATGCTGTTGTTCATTCCAGATTTCTGGGTAACTGTTATTTCTGTAGCCTGAATTTTGTTGTTTCCAATTGGTTTCAAATTGCAGTTATAGCTGTAGATGTGAAGCAGACTGTGCAGGTTGATAAAGATCTTCAAATTCGTGCCTACTATGCAGGCCATGTAAGATATTTGAACTTCTGCTATTGAACATGTATTCTCTTGGCAGCCTTATCAGCAGGGAAGATGAAGAAATTAGCATATCCAGCACTCTTCTTTCAAACTTATCCACTTGTACACATTTTTTAATTTTGTACTAGAGGGCTATGGATCGATAAGATGCTCTTAGGTGACATCTATTCATCATGCTGGTTTCATGTAGTTAGTCCATGGCAGCTCCGTGCTGTGTGTTTGTGGAAATGAAGACTTGAGTCTGTCCTTGAGAGCACTGGCTTACTCAAGCTGGTCTATCCCTCATAGATCTAGGTAGTTAGTTTGACAATCACTGATTGAATAGTTAATTTCCTAATCGCAAGGATGGTGCAGTTACATGATAGTTTTCTGGTTGGAGTGCTCCTCTTGCCATGATGTATGGATATATAGATATAGAGAGGTGTTTGCTGGAAGTAACCACAGCATAAAAGAGGAATTGTTGCTTTCTTGTATGTGGATCCATTTGAAGGTAGCTGCTATTGGAAAATCTTAGATGGCATGGAGAATTTCAAGAACAGGGACTTTGTAAGAATATGGGTCAACTTGGTAGAGCTGTGTCCGACAATGGTTCTTACCTGTTGTATAAGTTCATGTCTTATACATAGAACCCCCTAGAAGTCATGAGCAGTTTTTAGCATATTCGTAATATTCATGTTGGAAAAGTTCAAAAGTAAAACTGAAGGTGTAAAGAGAGGCTTTTTTAGTGAATATCCTGCTAAAGAATGGCATATTTGTTGCATATTTATGGTGATTACTGGGAAATCTCCTCTTTGTTGATCACGCATATTAGAACATCGGATGATGGGTATGATGAACACATATCTTTCCCCAACATGGAAGAATATATTTTGAAGGTCATCAGGTGGGTATGACTAACACATATTTTTGCCCAATATGGAACCTAAATTTTGAAGTTCCAATACATTGCCTTTCAAGAAGCTGCTTAGCCTAGTTCAGTGTCTGTATTTCTTTTTTTCTGAAATGTTTTCCATCCCTAACTATGACTATTCTATCACTATGAATAATTAAATTTAGACATATAATCCAGTCCTCTTATTAGTATAGTGGGTTCATTCCATGCTTGTTAATATAAGTTGTCCTTGTTTTGGCAAGGTTCTTGGGGCTGCAATGTTTTATGCAAAGGTTGGGGACGCATCTATGGTGTACACAGGAGATTATAATATGACACCAGACAGACATCTGGGGGCAGCTCAAATTGATCGACTTCAGCTCGACCTTCTTATTTCAGAGTATGGAAACTATTGTTTGTCTGGAGTATCTAATTGTGCTGTGTAGTATTTAGAAGATTGTACTGGTGAATCTGTTATGTCTTTTTGAAATGGAGATAGAGCATCTTTTACCTCGGTTATGGTGATAATTTAGCTAGATCAAGCTTCTCAATTAGTTTATTCTTGTAATTGGTTTCTACTTTAACTTTGTATGCATGATGAAGGGTCTTGTTTTTTTTTTTAAATAATGGTAAAGGGTCTTGTTATAGATTAGAAAAATGGTTTTATAGAATATAGATCTCCTAAATCCTAAACTAGGTTGTAACATTCTTTCCTCTTTTTTCGCACAACTTAAAATTCCTGAATTGTCTATATTCACCGGCCACATTGTTTTCCACAATAGTAATGTTTTTTAATAAGAAAAAAGGTATTATGGAAGAGAGGAATCAAACAAAGTTGCAACCTGTGGTGGAACCAAAATTTATTAGGAGGCAAAGTAATAATATTGTTAGAAATGAAAGGGATGCAGAGGTGTAGCTCCTTGGTACTGGTAAATTTTAATTATTATTTATTATTTTTTATTTTATATATAAAATCTCATATGGTAAACTAAAATTACACCTTATATTACTTAAATTAATTTATTTAAATATGTTTTTCATTTCTTATTGAGTTATTTATCTCACCCATAATAATAAATTTATATACGCTTATACTAGATTTAAAAATGTAATGCTTAATATAATATTTTTTTTATTGTCCTATTTTAATTTTATATTATTTAAATTTAACTTCCATAATGTTACTTTATATGTTTTTAGAAAATATATGCAATAACTAAATAGGATACACATATTAATATTTATGTATATTTTCAAGTGTTTCAGATGTATTTTTATGAACTTTCGATGGAGTTATATATTATTTTATAAAATTTTTGGGTAGGGGCCTAAAATGAATATTATAGCATATATATGTATACAGAAGTTTATTTCAAAAAATGTATACAGAGGTGGGCTGGGGTGGGGCATGGCCATCGGTAGTCACCCTTCCACCGCCCAGATTCGCATAGCTTGTTTCATGAATTTCAGATGCCTTTCTACCTATATATATTGTTATAAGAATTGTTTACCTTATATTTTCGACATCTGAGGTAATTTAGGCCCTCTTTTTTGAGTATTCATTCCTTTAACGAATCATAAGCTCATTGATTCTGAGAGTTTTTTTAAATAAAATTCCAGTTTAGATCTTTTGAAGTTTTAACATTTTTTGTTTTTATTTGTTCATTGAACTTCATGTTTCAAAATAGTAGAAGTAACTGTTGAATGGATGATTTTATTAAAAATACAGAAGATGAGAAGCATCCATGTTTGTGCATGGGGACTGGCCACTTTGCATAAGATTAGGGAGTAGGACGTATGCCCAAGATCAGTGGAAAAAATGTCAATTTAGATTTTGGAAGTGGTTTATCTTTTATCAAAAGAATGCCATCATTTCATGCCTTAAAAATATAATCATTTGGTTTGAATTTTGCTGTATCATCACATTTTGTATGTGGATGAGCTTCTATTAGAATTATGTTATTCTGTCTAATATCTTTTGTTTATTCTTATTGAAAAATGTGGTTTGTTTATTGTTTAGTAAATATACAGCAGTTTCTTTTTCAAGTTTTAATCTCATAATTGTTTTTTTTTTGTTTGAAAAGTAAATAGTTTCAGAGTCTTCAAACATCCAAATGTCTTATGATTGCATCTGTCCATTAAGTATTTCCAAATACCAAAACTTGTGAAATGTCGACTTTGCTTATCGTGAGGATATTCTGATAATCTTCCAATCAAATCCTACGGCAGGTCCACATATGCAACAACAATACGAGATTCAAAATATGCCCGGGAGAGAGAATTTCTTAAGGCTGTATGTCAACAACACTATCAAAATTTTAAATTTCATACGTCTCTGTAGTTGTGATTTATTTTCTTTCTTTTTTGTTTCAAATGTCTGTTCATAAGTTATTGAAGCTCTCTTATGAAATTTATTTTTCCTGACAGAGATTATTGTTTCAGCAAGGAAAAGTAAAGATCCTTGAATGCTAAATTTGCAAACAATTAAATCCTTTAAGTCCTAGTGATGTAACATTAGGCAAAAAGCAAAAGCACAAAGAACCTAAGGGGGCTAAATAGTTTGACTTGGTCTCTTCTGTATGTGTTTCAGATTAGTAACTTTAAATGCTATTGAGGAGATAATCTAGAAATTTGGAACTCTAATTTTTGTCTTTCATTTTGCTTAACACAGTCTTAATCCTTTAGAAAAGCAAATCAAGCTGAAATATCATTCTCTCTCCTTCCCTCACTTTCTCTCTCTCTGCAAGAAAATGCTCCTATTATTTTAGAAATCCTTACAGTCTTTTGTTATATGAGTTTCGTTGTTTGTGTTGTTTCTTGTTCCATCATGTTAAAATGTATCGTCTTCTCTGTTACTGAAGGTATTTCTTTTATAAATTTTATTACTGCTGACATCTTTTTGGAAATAACATGTAGGTTCATAAATGTGTTGCTGGTGGAGGAAAGGTGCTTATACCTACATTTGCTCTTGGAAGAGCTCAGGTCTTTTCATCATGTTAGCTTCTTGTGGTTCACTATAATTGTTTGTTTTGAATCACTTCTCCGATTTAGTTGGTTGATCTCTAAGATTATCAAATATACCAATGCTATTCTATGTGTCAAAAAAAGTATAGTTCTTTAGATTCGTAAAAAGGAGTGCTTCTCCACTAAAAATTCTGTATTGGGTTTTCAGACTGCTAGTATCTTGGAATTGTGGGTTACTACAATGTCCTTTTATGTGCTTACTTCTATTTTTAAAAAACATTTAGTCCTACGACAGCCTCAGTATCCACCTTTAAAAAAATGAGTCATACAAATTTCCCCTCTTTTGAAGTAGTAGTTCTCCTTTTTTTTTTAAAGATATTGGATATGTTCCTTTGAATATTCTTGAAATTTTAGTATTCAAGTTGGGTAAAATAGAAATACAACTCCTTTATAGTATTATCATCTGCATGACATAGATGCTGTTGCTCAAGTGATTCTTTTATGTTAGGCTAGCAACTGATTCTAGGATTGACTTACTGGTTATCAAGGAAAAAGATAAAGAAGGTGTCTTGGAACGCTTCTCCCCGGATTATAATACAGATGGAAAAAGTAGTGTAACGTTCAAGTACGCTGTTTGCTCTTTTTTGTTGGTTTTGGGTGTCCTCCCATTCTTGAGATGTTTTTCTTAGCATACACGAGGTTTGTATGAAGAGTAAGGAACATAAGTTGCTTCTGATGTGGTGCGTTTCTGGGTGAGTATTTGGAGAATTTGGAGGAGTTGAATAGCTGATCTACGAACTTACTTAAATAATTGAATCTTTTAAAATTTTCACATGATAATTTTGGACTTAAAATAAAGGAATAAGCAAAAACAAAAAGAAAAAGCATGGATAGGAAAAGATAAATGCATTTACGTTGGTTTTATCCTTGCCGTGCTTCCTTCTGATAAACCAGATTGGTGAACTGGCCTTCCTTGACAGCCGTAACAAAACTTCTCAAAAAAATTAAACTATTGAATTTTGGAATTTGGAATTTGGAATTTGGAAGGGCAATTAAGAGGACATTGGATTGGAAGTATCAATAAAATATTTTAGCCAACTGAAGATTGGTTGAATTTAGCATATGGGTGCTCCATAAGAAAGAAATTAACATATGAGGGGGAAGCAAATGAAGATAGTTTCAAGTAAGCTGAGAATGCTCATTTAATTTTC